CAACCTTTGTGTGTCTTTAGATCTAATGTGAGTCTCTTGCATATAGTATATATTTAGATTTTTTAAAATCCATTCAGCCAGTCTCTGTCTTTTGATTGGAAAATTAGCCTATTTGCATTTAAATTAGTTATTGATAAGGAAGGGCTTACTATTGTCATTTTGTTCATTGTTTTCTATATGTCTTGCAGCTATTTTGTTCCACTTTTCCTCTCTTCTTGCCTCCCTTTATGTTTCACTGATTTCTTTTTTTTCGGTAGGGACATGCTTTGATTCCTTTCTCATTTTTATTTGTGTATCTTCTATAGGTCTTTTCTTTGTGGTTACTGTAGAATTACATGAAAATATCTTATAGTTATAATAATCTATTTTAAATTGACAACAACTTAACTTTAATCACATACAAAAACTCTACTTCTTTACATCTCCTTCTCACTTTGTTACCAGTGTCACACAATACATATTTTTATATTGTTTATATAATTTAATAAAGTAATGTTATGCTTTTACCTTTTAAATTCCATGCTTCAATTACAAGTGAATTACAGGCTGGGTGTGGTGTCTTACACCTGTAGTCCCAGCACTTTGAGTGGCCAAAGTGGGAGGATCGCTTGAGCCTAGGAGTTTGAGACCAGCAAGACCTTATCAACACTAAAAATTTAAAAATATTATCTGAGTGTGGTGGTGCATGTCTGTAGTCCCAGACACCTAGGAGGCTGAATTGGGAGGATCGCTGTAGCCCAGGGCTGCAAGGCTGCAGTGAGCCGTGATCAAACCACTGCACTCCAGCCTGGGCAACAGAGCAAGACTCTGTCTCAAAAAAGAAAAAGAAACAAGTAAAGAAGAAAAGTGTTTTACTTACCACCATTACAGTATTACAGGATTCTGTGTTCACTCATATATTTACCTTTACCAAAGAAGTTTATATTTTCTATGCTTTTGTATTTCTATCCAATATCCTTTCATTTCCACTTAAGGACTCCCTTTAACATTTTTTGTAAGGTAGATCTAGTGGTGATTGACTCCCTCAGCTTTTACTTCTCTGGGGAACTCTTTGTTTGTCCTTCATTTTTGAAGTGCAGTTTTACTGGCTATACAGTTCTTGGTTGACAGTTTTTTTGGTTTTTTTTTTTTCAGCCCTTTTAATATATCATCCCATTCTCTTCTGGCCTGTAGAGATTTTGCTGTGAATTCCACTGATAGCCATATGACATCTCCCTTGTATGTGAAAAGTTGCTTTGATCCTGTTCCTTTCAAGATTCTCTCTTTGTCTTTGACTTTTGACAGTTTGATTATAAGGTGTCTCATTGTAGGTTTTTTTCAAATTATTTAACTTGGAGTTCTTTGAGCCTCTTGGATTTGTATGTTCATTTCCTTCCTTAAATTTGAGGTTTTGGTCATTATTTTTTTAACTGGCTCTCTACCCCTTTATTTTTCTCTTCTCCTTCTGGAACTTTCATAATGCATACATTGATCTGCTTGATGGCATCCTATAAGTCTCTTAGGCTGTCTTCACTCTTCATTCCTTTTCCCTTTTGCTCCTCTGACTCTGTAATTCCAAATGACTAGTCTTCAGTTTCACTTGATTCTTTCTTCTGCTTGATGTTATTGAAAACACCTTTGCAAAAATTGTAACTGAAGAAATTATGACAGTGAAAGAGATCAGACCTAATCAACTCCATCTTGCTTCTAACATTTAAACTGTCCTTGTCCATTCCTAGTAGTAGGATGAACTAATTTTGGGAAGGTATTCAGTTCATGGTTTGACTCTGAAACAAAGTTGATAATAGCCATCTCCCGAAGAGATCCCCTTCTTGCCTGGGGACCAGTCTGCCTTTGCAGGATAAACAAATTAGCTACAACATTAGAAATTACAGTTTAGGGGTTATGCAGCCTCTGGCTCCAAGAATCTGAACCTCTCCAAATTGCTCCTGAGAATAACATTATTATTGTAAAACCTAAAATCGGTGCTTGAGATATTTTGCAGACCCTGCACTAGATGAATCAGCTGATACCACCCAGATTGGTAATCTGGCTCAACTAGTTCTGCCATACCACCTACAAACAGAAGACAGCAAGAAAACATCACTTCAACCCCCTATGATTTCATCTCCAACCTTACAAATCCCTACTTCCCAAGCCCCTACCTGCCAAATTATCTTTAAAACTTCTGATCCCTGAATACTCGGTGAGACTGATTTGAGTAATAATAAAACTCTGGAGTCCCACACAGCTGGCTCTGCATGTATTACTGTTTCTCCATTGCAATTCCCCTGTCTTGATAAATCAGTTCTGTCTAGGCAGGTCACAAGGTGAACCCACCGAGCAGTTAGTTACACAGTCTGTTGGTGATTTCCTATAGTGAATTTTTCAATTAGCTATTGTATTCCTTAGCTCCAGAGTTTCTGTATGATTCCTTTTGTTTGTTTGTTTTTTTCTATCTCTTTATTAGTATTTTCATTTTGTTCATTAATTATTTCCTACTTTCATTTAGTTGTCTATTTCTGTTGTCATTGGGCTTCATTAAGAGAGTTCATTTGGATTCTTTGTCAGGTAACTCATTTATCTATTTCTTTAGGGTTGGTTTCTGGAGATTTATTTTGCTCCTTTAATTTAGTCATTAGGTTTCTCTGTTTCTTCTTATGCTGTGTTATTTTTTATTTATTTTTGCCAAGATTTGGATGTTTGAAAAAACTGCCACTTCTCCCAGTTTTTATCAGCTGGCTTCATACGGAAGACCTTTACCTGAATCAGCATGGCTATAGGCTCTAGCGGCCTCTCAAACCTTTTCTGGGAATGCATCTTCTTTGGGTTTATACATGCAATATCCCAAGTAGAGGTTTGCCAGTTTCTTTTTCTGGAGCTGTTGCTCTCTCTGGTATCTGTCTGCCTGTGGTACTGCAGGTTCCCTGGTGCTGCATCATCTCTGACCTCTCCTTTATTCTCAGTGGCTCCCACGTATCCAAAGTATGCTGGTTGGGTGTCAAGTTAGAGAGAGAGAGAGCTTCAGGTAGCCTCATAAAACTGTTACATTCCAGTCTTCTCTTTCCCTGCTAATGGAGACGCTGCAAGTGGAGTGCTTTCTCCCAGCCACACCAACCTATTCCAGCTTGGGGAAGGGGTATCATGAGTATAATACAACAGCTTTTCTTATTTGTTCAATGCCACTATTCTTGGCTTTGCACTTGTCTGTGCTACTACAACTTCTTAATTGTTTGTTTGTTTGTTTGTTTGTTTGTTTGCTTTTGAGACAGAGTCTCGCTCTTTTACTCAGGCTAAAGTGCAGTGGCATGATCTCAGCTCACTGCAAGCTCCGCTTCCCAGGTTCACACCATTCTCCTGCCTCAGCCTCCTGAGTAGCTGGGACTACAGGTGCCCACCACCATGCCCGGCTAATTTTTTTGTATTTTTAGTAGACACGAGGTTTCACCCTGTTAGCCAGGATGATCTTGATCTGCTGACTTCGTGATCTGCCCGTCTTGGCCTCCCTACATGCTGGGATTACAGGCATGAGCCACCACACCCGGCCACAACTTCTTAATGGTTTATGGAACTCCATAAAGGTTTTTAGACCATATATTGTTGTTCAGTTGGTATCTTTGTGGAGAATCAAAGTTTGGAGCTTCCCATTCCACCATCTGGCTGACATCACTCTGTTTATATTATTTTTTATTTTTATTATATTTTATTTTCTTGAGATAGGGTCTTACTCTGTCAGCCAGGCTGGAGTGCAGCCTCAAACTCCTGAGTTCAAGGGACCTCCTCCCTCAGCCTACTGAGTACTTGGACTATAGGCACACACCACATACCTGCCTAATTTTTTAATTTTCTTGTAAAGATGGGATATCATTCTCTTGCCCAAGCTGGTCTCAAACTCTTAGAAGTTCAAGCAGTCCTTCTGCCTTGGCCTCCCAAAGTGCTGGGATTAAAGATGTGAGCCCACCATGCCCTGCCTGTTATATTTAGTAGAAAATATGTCTAAAAATATGCTTACTTACTATATTGAATCCACTACCCAGAGCTTAACTGAACTATTTGTGTGACTCAGAATCTGTTTTTTTTTTTATTTTTTGTTTTTTACTTATTACAATGAACTACAAGTATGGATTTATTAATATTAATGAATATAAAATATACTGGAATCTTTTGTAGTTTTTTTTCCTTTTGTCTTCACCAAAAGCAGATACTTAAATATACTGAAATCTTAATTGACCCTTGAATGTTTCTAGGACTGACCCTGGAGCAAAAATTTTTATGTTGTTATTACGTTTTCTTTTTATGCTAAAATCATTTGTTTCTTTTTCATATAGTATATCAAAGAAGAATTGTTAATATAGCCCTTACCAGCCATGTGCTAAGTGCCACAGGTGTTTTGGTCTCTCTCCATTCTTGTACCTCACTTGGTCTTTTTTTTTTTTTCTTTTGGAGGCATAGTCTCCCTCTTTCACCCAGGCTGGAGTGTGGTGGCATGATCTCAGCTTACTGCAACCTCTGCCTCCCGGGTTCAAGTGATTCTCCTCCCTCAGCCTCCTGAGTACCTGGGACCACAGGTGTGCGCCACCATGCCCAGCTAATTTTTGTATGTTTAGTAGAGATGAGGTTTCATCATGTTGGTCAGACTGGTCTTGAACTCCTGACCTCAAGTAATCCACCTTCAGCCTCCCAAAGTGCTGGGATTACAGGCATGAGCCACTGCGCCCAGACTACCTCACTCTGTCTTTTAAGTTGGCTGTGTAAGTGGGGGAGCATCTTGTGGCTCGTTAAGTCTTTGTTTTCTGGCCTATTTATATAATGGACATTTCTGAGTTGTGTGTATATATTAAATTATTTGAGAGTATATATTTAATGGACTAAATAGATCTACATGTTTAAAGACCATTTTCATATATCTGTTCTGTACAATGCTTACCTTTCTTCATGAACCACGTAGATTTGCTTTTCTGATGTGTAGTATATATGAAAATATTTCTTTGTGAATTTTTTTTTATTGTGTGCCCCTACAGGTGGTATAGTTAATAACGCCATAGCCTCTATAAAGAGCGTATCTATTAGTCTGCTGGCAGGAATTGTTTTGGGATTTTTTGTTCGATATTTTCCAAGTGAAGACCAGGTATATACAAAATCTATTTTATGGAAGTATAGTGTTAGACATTTTTTTCAAAATATTAAACTTTAGTAAGATCCATGAAACTTGATACTTAATTCTATTTCTCTAAAACTAGCCTCCAATGCCTGCTCTGTACTTGAAACTGAGCACAGCAGTGATTGATACAGGTCCATGGCTTTGATTAAAGTCTCTGCTTCCTGATTTGGCAAATAAGGAATATAAAAATATATACTTAATGCAGAGTATCCCTCTGAATTATACTTTCCCTTTCTCTACTAAATTGCCTACTGATATTTGATAATTTCCCCCAAATTTTCCCTTAAATATTTTAAGGGGAGATAGGTTCCCATTAATTTCTGCATATTTTCTGACTTAAATTCACTCCTACTCTCCTTTGACAAAGGCAACACTCTTAAACTTAGCCATTTCCTGCCTTAAATGAAAATATGCCATTATTTTTGTATTTCTATAATTTCTATCCAAATTTAGCTGTAACATATTGGCCAAAGAGACACTCAAATATTTTTTAAGAATTCATTGGATATGTTATATGAAACTGGAGATTGTATGGGTCTCTTTTCTTCTTCACTTAAAGTAATATTTTAACCATTTTACTGATATTAGTATCAGAGATATGGCAGAAAATGAAACGTTACTAATTGTTAATTTTGTTACTTGGTAGTAAGTCTCCTAAAACTTATAGTGAGAAAGAATATCAAAATTTTAGACATTTAATATAATGTTTAAAGACATAATATCAAAAGGTCAAAAATATATAATAGATAATGTCAAATCTTGTATTATATATTTAATGTAAACTAATTTCTAAATATCTATCTAATTCTAGAAAAAACTTGCATTGAAGAGAGGATTCCTTATTTTGACTATGTGTGTTTCTGCTGTCTTAGGCAGCCAACGTATAGGTTTACATGGAACTGGAGGATTATTCACCCTAGTGTTGAGTTTCATTGCAGGGACAAAATGGTCCCAAGAAAAGGTGAATATTTTTAATACGCTGTATTTTAAAAGCTAAAACAACTGAATTTTTTACTATATTTAGGAAATCCCCTCATTCTGGTTGGAAAATGTTCCAAAAGGTTTTCTGTCCTCAAGAAAGTGTATGAATCACTCAAGGAAATAAAATATTTAGGAAAAGCACCTGAAAATATACTAATAAGGAATCAGAAGTTGAGTTATCACATCAGGCTTCTCTTTTTGCTAAGAGTTATGTAATATTATTATATTACTTTTATGAATGTAATTATTTTATTCATTGAAATTTTAATTATACAATTAATCCATGAAAAATGTTTGTAAAAGGCCAGGCACGGTGGCTCATGCCTGTAATCCCAGAACTTTGGAAGGTTGAGGCAGACAGATCACCTGAGGTCAGGAGTTTGAGACCAGTGTGGTCAACATGGTGAAACCCCATCTCTACTAAAAATACAAAAATTAGCCGGGCGTGGTGGTGTGGTGGTGGGCACCTGTAATCCCAGCTACTCAGGAGGCTGAGGCAGGAGAATCACCTGAACCCAGGAGGTGGAGGTTGCAGTGGGCCGAGATCATGCCATTGAACTGCAACCTAGGCAACAAATGCAAAACTCCATCACAAAAAAATAAATAAATAATAAACAAATAAATAAAAATAGAAATGCTTGTAAAATAATAAAACATAGAATAAAATGTAAAAGATTTCTTTATTCCCCACCACTCTCAAGTATCAAACCCCCTTACACTTTTAGGTAACCAGTATTCTATTTATAGACATTGAGATCGTTTCCACTTTTTGTTATTTACAAACAGTGCTGTCGTAAACAGTGTTGTTCATGTCTTTTTTTGAGATGCAGTTTCAATCTTGTCACCTAGGCTGGAGTGCAGTAGCATAATCTTGGCTCACTGCAACCTCTGCCTCCTGGATTCAAGTGATTTTTCTGCTTCAGCCTGCCTAGTAGCTGGGATTACAGGCATGCATCACCACACCCAGCAAATTTTTGTATTTTTAAGAGAGACAGGGTTTCACCATGTTGGCCAGGCTGGTCTTGAACTCCTGACCTCAGGTGATACTCCTGCCTCGGACTCCCAAAGTGTTGGAATTACAGGTACATCTACTGGGATAGAGTCCTATAAATGATCTTTTTTTATTATTATTTTTTTTTTTTTAGAGACAGAGTCTCTCTATGTTGCCCAGGCTGGTCTCAAAATCCTGGGCTCAAGGGATCCTCCCAACTTGACATTGCAAAGTGCTAGGATTACATGCATGAGCTACCACACCTGGCTGGAAATGATGTATATTTTATTTTGATGGACACTGCTAAATTATCCCTTCAAAAGATTTTGGTTATTTACATTCTGCCAACAGTTCACAAAAATATCTAATGTCTTAACTCGTCAACAGCACTTGATATTATCACTAGTTCTATTCTTTCTACTATTAGATGACCTCATCATTCAGTTCTTATAGTTTCTTACAATTATGTGATGTCATTATTCTTTATTTACATTTCTCTGATTAGTAGTATAGTAAACTTCTCTTCATATATTCTTTTTAAAATACCTATGATCTTCTTTGACCATTTTTATTGGGTTATTTATTTTTTTGTTTCTAATTTATAGTTTCTAGTAGTGTTAGGGCTACAGATCCTTTGTTATGTATATATTGCATATAATTTTTGCTTATCTTCAACTTTGTTTATGGTGTCTTGTGTATGGAAGTAAAATTTCCTATGACCAAACCTATTGGTTTTTCCTTTTTTGGTTTTGGATTCTGCATCTCATTTAAGAAGGACTTTCTCACTGAAGGTTATAACATATAAACATTACAAAGATATACTATTTTGTATATTATCATTTAATATTTTGGTAGTTTTTGATTGTTTAATTTGTTTCTTCATTTAGTCTTTTAATCTATCTGGAATTTATCTTTGTGAATGCTGTGAGGTAAGGAGATATATATATACATGTGTGTATCTTACAAACTATATATATTTATACACACATACAGTTTGTAAGTTAACTGAACAGAGATAGAATTACATCATGCGCGATGTGTGTGTGTGTATATATATACACACACATAAATATACATATATATTCAGACACACATATATACTTGCATGTGATGAATATGTACATACAGATATATGCACATAAACTAGATGGTCATTTTTTGCCAAATTTTGTTTATTGACCAATTCATTAATAGTTCAGTTTTTTAACATGAACTAAATTCTCCCATATATATTAATTCTGAAGTCTATTTAATCCTACTTCTCTATTTCTATGCCAACACCACTGTTTTAAATCACTGCAGTTTTATGTGTCAAAATCTAATATAGATTATACTTCTTTTTAAAGTATTTTTTGGCTGTTCCTACACATATTCTTTCTTAGATAAATTTTAGAATCAGCTTGAGAAGTTCCCTAACCAAAAATCATAGTGGCATTTTGTTTAGTATTCTTATATAATCATAATTATAAAAGAAATGAAATGAATGAAATGCAAATCAATAAATAAAATTAAAACTACAAGAATTTTTTTAAATGATAAAAGAAACACAACTAAAATAAGTTTTAAAGATTAAAAGTAACAAAAAGGATAGTTATGCTGTAAAGAATACTAACACTGTTTTTCTTTGTTTTTCTTTTTTTTAACCATAGTTTAATAAGTGGGAATCAGAAAACGCAGTCTTAAGGGAAATAGTTTTGAAGATAGTTTATGCCTCAAGGAAGAGACACCAAAGTTCTTACGTATCTTCTGTTTAAAAAAAAAAAAAATGTTAAACCCAGACTGAGACTGAAATCTCTTCATCCAAATTCCTGAAGAAGAGCCAGAATACTGTAGGCCAATAGGGCCTTTCCTGTAACCTTTTAATTGGGGAAGTAGCACTGGGAGGCATTCGTTTCCAGAAAGGGAAGCTGGGTAGGCAACTAAATGAGAATCTAATATATGTTTTGGTTTTGTTTTAAGGAAAAAGTAACTAAAGTATTCAACATGGGTTCTTTGGAAGCAGGCCTCGCAGACTTCCAAATTGTTTTTCCTAGTAGTATATGCTATATCAGGATTCACTTTAATGGGATTGAGTTCCAGGATGGTTGTTAGTGGAGGGCTTCCCAACCCCCTTCTGAGAACCCAAATGTTTGCATGAACTGGGTATGTTCTCATCAGGCATGATGTAGTTCTATCTCTGTTCGGCTAACTTACAGACAAAATCTGGAACTCATACTAAACATGGCTAGAACCCTAAGGATATCATTTATTTTGTGACAAAATGGCCAAATAGTATTATTTTATTGCTTTGTGAGTTTCTTTTAATCAAATTCTACCGAAGTGCTTGAGTAAAACTATCAAAGTGCTCAGTTTTTATTAATTAAGTTTAACATTTTTATTAAAATAAAATGTCTTAAGTTTATTAAATGTTAAGTGACTTTAGGCCAGGCATGGTGGCTCATGCCTATAATGCCAGTGCTTTGGGAGGCCACAGCCAGAGATCGCTTGAGGACAGGAGTTCCAGACCATCCTGGGCAACATAGCAAGACCCCATCTCTACAAACAATTTAAAAATTAGCCCGGCATGATGATACACACCTGTAGCTCTACTTGGGAGGCTGAGGTGAGAGGATCACTTGAGCCCAGGAGTTCAAGGCTACAGTGTGCTATGATTATGCCACTACACTCCAGCCTGGGCAACACAGCAAGACCCCATCTCTAAAATACTTAAAAGTGAAAAAAAAAAGGGGGGGAGACTTTAAGTTTCTGAAATGTATTTATGTGCCAAAATAATTATAAATGTATTTCTCTTTTCTATAGATGAAAGTCCAAAAGATTATTACAAATGTATGGGATATTTTTCAACCACTTCTTTTTGGTTTAGTTGGAGCAGAAGTATCTGTTTCATTGCTTGAATCAAATACTATTGGTAAGAATAATTAGAACACAAAAATATATGAAATTCAAAAATCTTTAAGAAAATTATAAATACTCATTTTTATTTACAATATATCTTTGAATGACTACAAGGACCTTCTTCAGAAACACATGTTGATACAGTGTCATATTTTCATATTGCTCTTCCTTTACACTGTGTGCTCTGTTTTCTTTTTAAACCAAGGACAGCCCTGAATATCTTCCCTGAGTTATCTGAGGAAATAAATATAAGATTTCTTTCCTGAGGGAAAATATTTGATACGATCAGCACTTTTTGAATACTTTCATTTAAAAGTATTGGCTGGGTGTGGTAGCCCATGCCTGTTATCTCAGCCCTTTGGGAGGCCAAAGCAGGCAGATTTCTTGAGGTTAGGAGTTCGAGACCTGCCTGGCTAACATGGGGAAACTCCCTCTCTCCTAAAAATACAAAAATTAGCCCAGTGTGGTAGTGCACACCTATAATCCCAGCTACTCAGGAGGCTGAGGCAGGAGAATCATTTGAACCCGGGAGTCGGAAGTTGCAGTGAGCTGAGATTGTACCACTGCACTCCAGCCTGGGTGACAAAGCAAGAATCCTTCTCAGAAAATAAATTATTATTAATAAAAATAAAAGTATTCAAAAAAGGTCTATTAGTTCAAAATTGTATAAATGTCATCTGTCTTATTTTTCATGGTACCTCCATCATCAGATAATCTCTTGCACTTTACAGAGAATCCTCAATTGTATTCATTTTTTATAATCATTGATTTTATGTAAAAAACACATGAAGAGACAATAGCCTTAAAATGCTTTCAAAAGTTTTAGAAATCATATTCCTGAGCATAAAGAGCACTTCTTCACAAATATTTTGTTATTTATGTTTGTTTTCATCTGTTGTAGGCATATTTGTTGCCACTCTGAGTTTGGCATTATGTGTTCGAATTTTAGTCACATATACATTGATGTGCTTTGCTGGTTTTAGTTTTAAGGAGAAAATATTTATTGCTTTAGCATGGATGCCCAAAGCTACAGTACAGGTAAGAACATATTAAGCCTATTGCTTAATGCTTTCATTTTGATGCTTTTAAAATTTTAAATGAAAAATGTTACTCCAGTCACAAAATATGAGCTATTATCCTTACTTTTTAAATGTTTGAATGTAACCAGTCCCAACTACTCAAGAGTCTGAGACAGGAGAACCACTTGAACCCAGGAGGCAGAGGTTGCAGTGAGCTGAGATGGCACCACTGTACTCCAGTCTGGGTGACAGAGCAAGACTGAATCTCAAAAAAATAAACAAATAAATAAACAAAAACAAACAAAGAAACTTAATGTTACTTTCTTCTCTTTTTATTTTCATTTTGAGACCAGTTCTCACTCTGTCACCCAGACTGGAGTGCAGTGGTGTGATCACGGCTCACTGCAGCCTCAACCTCCTAGGCTCAAACAATCTTCCCACATCAGCCTCCTGAGTAGCTAGGATCACAGACAACTGCCACCACACCCAACTGTGTTTCTTCTGATTTTTTTTTTTTTTTTTTTTTTTTTTTTTGGAGACAGAATCTCACTCTGTTGCCCAGGCTGGAGTGCAGTGGCATGATCTTGGCTCACTGCAACTTCTGCCTCCCAGGTTCAAGTGATTGTCCTGCCTCAGCCTCCTGAGTAGCTGGAATTACAGGTGCACACCACCACACCCAGCTAATTTTTGTATTTTTATTAGAGATGGGGTCTCACCATGTTAGCCAGGCTAGTCTCAAACTCCTGACTTCAAGTGATCCACCCACCTCAGCCTCCCACAGAGCTGGGATTACAGGCGTGAGCCACTGCGCCTGACCATTTTTTCTGCTTTTTTGTAGAGAGGAGGTCTTGCTATGTTGCCCAGGCTGGTCTTGAACTCCTAGGTTCAAGTGATCCTCCTGCCTCAGCCTCCTGAAGTTCTGGGATTACAAGCATAACCCACTGGGCCCAGCCAATGTAACCTTTTTAAATCTCAGTTTTAAAAGCAATTCTTTTGAAATTAAAAAGTATTCTTTCAGTAAGTACTTCCTAAGTTTATGAAAATATGTTTTGTATTTTCCTAAAATATATAATAAGAGTATATCTGAAAATTGGAGTTTTTATATTTTACTGAATATAACAAAGCTAAATGTTGCAATTTTAAAAAGCAGAGACACAGGCCAGGCATGGTGGCTCATGCCTGTAACCCTAGCACTTCAGGAGGCTGAGGCGGACAGATCACTTGAGCTCAGGAGTTCAAGACCAGCCTGGGCAACATGGTGAAACCCTATCTCTACAAAAAATACAAAAAAATTAGTCAGGGGTGGTGGCACGCACCTGTAGTCCCAACTACTTGGGAGTTGAGGCAGGAGGACTGCTTGAACTCGGGAGGTTGAGGCTGCAGTGAGCTGAGGTCACACCACTTCACTCCAACTTGGGTGACAAAGTGAGACCCTGTCACAAAAAAAAAAGTAAAGTAAAATAGAGACACATCGACTTTTTAAAAAATACTTTCCCTACCTTTGCCACTCACTCCATCACACAAATGCACATATGCACATATATTGTTTTTAATTACACATTTATTTGTATAACTATTTGGTTAATGGCTAAATCCCTGCCCCCGCCCCCTTGATAGACTATGTAAGGAGAGGGACAGTGTCTGGTTGTTGCAGTTGTTTTTCATTATTTCTCCCTGGCACTTAACACAGTGCCTGACACACAGGAGGCAAATATGTATTGCATGCCTGCAAGAATGAGTGAACGGAAAGGGAAACCTTGTAATTTTGCCCTCTTATTCGAGGATATTCTCCTCCTACTGAAATATATTGCTACTTATTGTTAGACTATTTAACTTGGCAGCATAATATACCTTAATTTCCTGTGGTTCTTAGTTGTTATTCCAAAACAGAAGCTCCTAAATTTTCATGCAGAAAAGCCTCTATTATCATGTTAGAAAAGCAGGTTCATAGGGCCAGACTACCTGTTTTGAATACCATGTTATTTGCCCATACCTCGGGAAAATTATTTTCTAATCTCTCTGTTCTTCAGTGTTCTCATCTTACAATGAAGTCTATGACTAGATCTATTTCTTAGTAGTGTTGTCAGGATTCAATGAGATAATCCATGTAAAGTGCTTAGCCCTCTCTCTGGCATATGGTGGTGCTCAGTTAACAATGTTGTTATTTTATCTTACGTTCAAGTAATATAAATAATAATAACTTTTTTATTTTTAATGTCTACTGTAGGGCATAATAAATCTACAAAAGGAGTATCTATGCATCCTTCTGTTCTCTCTCCTTCCAAAAACACTCTCGCAATTTTGTTTTATTATTTCATCATTTTCATAAAGCAGGGAAAAAAGAAAAGCAGGTATGAGGAAAGAGACCACTCACTCAAGTCCTGCAGTATTATTCTGCTTCTGCCTATTCCTGTCTGCTGGCTCTAGGCTAGCTTCTACACAAAGAATATCAAGCTGGTTCCAGGAACTGGCAAGATATAAAAAATTAATTATTTATACAAGTAGAGTCACAACAGCAGTAATAGAAAACGATAATGTCACAAGTAAGATCAACAAATATTTTAAATTTCAATTTTGAATTATTTTCACTTTTATCCTCTTCCACTGTTCTCTGCTGCTAAAATAAAATTGGCTAAGGTTCAGCTCTTTCTCTTGTTCCTCAGTTTCGAGTTACTGATAAAAATTAGAGTGGAAAAATAGAAGCTATTAGGAGAGTAAATAAATAATTTAGTTTACAAATGTAAGATCAGCTTGGCAATTGGATTCTTTTAAAGAAATAATATTCAATTTCAGTCACTAGGAGGAAATCATTTATCATCTAATAATAGTTCTCACATAATAAGGTTGTCACGAGAATTAAATGAGTTAATAAATGGAAAGCTTTAAGAATGATACCTGCCATATGATGAATGCCATATAACTATATAAATATTATTTCTAGTTTCACCATTATCATCATCATCTCTTAAAAGTCAATGGGTTTGGTTTTTGTTTTTGGTTTTTTCTGTTGGCAGTTCTTTTATGTTCAAATCCTCTTCTAAACTGTAAAATTCTTTCAAGTTGGTTTTCTGCATGATTATCTTTTTCTCCCTAGCATCCTCCAGCACACTGGCTCATGTTCAGTACATTAAAAGTTATGATATAAAAATGATACCATTTTAAATTATTGATCTAGAATACAGAAATTGATTTTAAATTGAGGGGTTCTTTTGCCATAATGTTCCATATCAGAGGTAATGTTTCTACCATTATGTTGTTACTTTGCAACTCCATAGAAAATATGTTATATATTGGTATTTAATTCCCCAAAATTTTAGGGCAATTTCATGCCTAGATGGTTAAACACAAAGAAGGAGGGTTAGCAAGAAATTTGCTTTATGTTATTAAAAATAATGTGGTAGAAGGTAACTAGGGAAAAAAACTTGTGGCCCAGTAAAGTCATTCTAAAACAATAACTTCAAAGGAACTCATTCTCTGACCTGGCAGGGGATGAGGAGTGAGGGAGAAAGAAACTTACTACTATCTGAATACCTACTATGTGCCAGGTGTTCTTTGCATTCTCATATTTAATTTTCACAACTGTCCAGTAAGATAAGTATTTTGTTCTTCATTTTACAACTAAGTAAGTAGAAGTTTAGAGAGTGTGAGTCATTTGTAAGTTCACTAGCCTCGTTGCAGCAAAAATAGAATTCAAACCCAGTTTGCTAGATTCCAACCCTGCTGTCAATTCTACTATAACACAGTGCCCCCTGAATAGGGAGAACAATGAGAAGAAGGGCAAGAGATCCTAGAGACCCATAAGAAACCTTAATATTTTATGTTGTCTTGTTGTCACCAAGAACCACTGGTACATGGTACAGGCAACTAAGCAAAACTGGTTTCATTAGAAATCCTGGTGTTATTAGGGTAACATGAACACTCAAAAGAGATATTTGAATAGAGGAACACTGAGAGGACAAGAGTGCAAAATCAGCCCAAAAATGTTTGCCTGCTGATTTGTCACTATTGTACTCTTCCTCCACATATATTTGCTAGGAAGAACATAGAACTGATGAGTAAGTTATGAAAATTACTGAGTACTTTTTTTTTCTAATAGTCTAGTACTAGATTTTGTTTATTTTAAGAGAGCCATTTACATTATATATTAACTCCATTTAACATTTTTCTTTATGCCCCATTTTTACCCCTAAATGCAGGCTGTGTTAGGTCCTCTGGTTCTAGAAACAGCAAGAGTCTCCGCACCCCACTTGGAACCATATTCGAAGGATGTGATGACAGTAGCATTTTTAGCCATCTTGATCACAGCTCCAAATGGAGCTCTACTTATGGGCATTCTGGGGCCTAAATTGCTTAGACGCCATTATGATCCAAGCAAAATAAAACTGCAATTGTCAACATAAACATATAGAGCATCATTAAAAAGTTTACCTGTCATCATCTGCCTGCTTCTTTTAATGATTTATTTCACATGACAAAAGAATTTTAAAGTAGAAATATGTGGGGACTGTACAGAGAATCCAGGATTTAGTAAATATGTGATTTCAGTACAGGGCTTTTCTTGGATTTTTTACTCCAAAGTTAATTTAATAAAAATAATATTAAATGGAATGCTCTCTTGGTATTTACACACTGTAAGAACAAATTAAATCTGTAAATACCCTAGGAAAGTTTAAAGTAATCCCTCAGGCTGAATTTTATATCATAACAAAAACTGAACTTAATATTAAGTTAAACAAACTTAATGGCAGAAAGAAAAAACTTTGAATATTGAACTTGGTAAGATAGCCTAAGTTTCCAAACAGGAGGAGTAGAACTCCCCATGATGTCCAGTAATTCAGTTAAAAAGATCACCACAAAAAGAAAAAAAAAAAAGGAATAAAACACATCAACTTAAAATGAGTTAACTAAATAGATTTTAAATTCTAGTTTTGGTGACTACCTGAATAAATAATATGTTAAGTAATACAACCAAGTTACTCTTTCCCTACTTCTGCCATGCCCTTAAAATGAAAGTCTGGT